TATGTATATGAAAGAAAAGAAATAATGTGCCTAAGAGCTCACAAAGAGAAAGCCTCTTATCTTCTCTTCCTTCCTGTACCTCTTTTCCAGCACCATTTCTAATATTCCTTACTCTTCCTTTACTCTACCAAATTTCAGATCTTTCCAAGAAAAAAAAAAAATCCTGGCATGATTTGTGCTCTTAGATTTGGGACAACTGCTCTTTCCTAAGCCTGCTAATAATGAATAAAAATGTTTTCAACGACTAATAAATATCTTGCAAAGAAACTTTGGAGATGTATACCAGCATAGGCTCAAATAAACCAGTCTTTTCCTTTAATAATGTTGGCTCTTTAAGGTACACTACAGGAAGCTTGTGAGTTGCTGAATGAAAACATGAGTAAATGTCTGGATGCCAATTTACATACAATTTGCATCCAATTGGCTATTAAAATTTGACTTCAGTCTATAAATGCCAGATGGTCTGATTTTTGTGAAAATTTCTAAGGACGTAATTTCAGCCAATTCCTCACGGAAGAGCAGCATCAAAGAAGAAGAATTTAAATATTCATCTGCAATTTTTTTCCTCTCAAATTAGCACATTTTCATGATCATGTAAGCAGCATTTTGTTTGTTTGTTTGTTTGATTGCTTGTTTTAATCATGTCTTTGGTGTTTTGTTCTGATATGTCATTAGAAAGCTAGCCAAGAAGTAAAAATCAGAATACTACAGTCTCAAGCCATTTAAAGAAAACCCAGTTAGGGTCATCATCTATCTCCAGATAACAATTATTACACTGATGGGAACTTTTGTTTTTGGATGGCATTTATTATTCATTCCACCTAAATTTTATCCTCTTTCCTAGAAAAATCATGAAATGTTTTGTCAACGATATTATTAAAAGGAAAAGAAAGTAGTTCAAAGATCCTTTGATCCCCTCATCTCTCTATATTTTTGAGCACTTAAAAGGTTTAGCCAGTCCCTCAATATAGGATCCCTAGGTGGTAGTCCATAATACTAACCCGAAAGGGTGGTGGTTCTAACCCACCCAGTAGTGTTCGGAAGAAAGGTTTGGGAATCTGTTTCCAAGAAGTGTCAGTCCGGAGAACTATGGGCTGCAATTCTACTTTATAACACCTGGGGTCATCATGAGTCCCAACAGATTCTATGGCAACTGGTTTGTTTTTCTTTTGCTTTGTCTTGGTGATAAACCAAGCTGGAGAGTCAACCCCGACTCATGGGGTCCTATTGGACAGAGTAGAACTGCCTCATACCTAGGGTTCCCAAGTCTGCAATCTTTATAGAAGCAGGTCACCCCATTGTTCTCCTGTGGAGCAGCAGTTGGACTTGAGCCACCCACTTTGGGGTTCGCAGTCCAATGCTTTAACAGCTAGTTCAATTGGACGCCCTGGTTTGGATCATGCATAACCCCAAAGGACCTGGAGTCCATGAGTCCCAGCCCCATTTCCCTAAACAGTCACACAAACGCACGCTCTCTAGATTTTTCAGAATATGGAAGTACCTTCAAGGTCATTTCCCTGACAAGGCAATGGTTTCCTTCCAAATCTCATTGACAAAGTGGACATTAAGATGCCCTTGTGCTCATTAAGCAAAAGGGAGGCCCCCAGGATATGTGTCAATAGATCTAATTGGCAAAAACACCCCCCTTGTTATTTATCTTACCTGATTTTGTTGGAGGGGTTTCGGGTCTTTCATATCCATCTAGAAAACCGGATGCAAGAAAAGGAATCACATTGATTATAAAAACAGCTAACAACAACGTAAGGTACTAAAATTTTTAAATCAATTTTGAGATCATTATTATAAACTCAAAATCATAGGAGAGATCTGGCTTACTAACTGGACAGAGACTGGTGGAACCCCCAAGACTATGACCTTTAGCCACTCTTCAGTAGGGAAATGAATTCACTCCCAATGCTCAATGTACCCCCAAACAACAAACAGGTCTACAAAGGGAACAATCACACTAGAAAGGACTCCTGGCGTGGTGCTGTAGGATCAGCACTGGACTACTAACCTCAAGGTCGGCAGTTCAAACCCACCAACTGCTCCTCAGAAACCCTATACAGGGTTGCTATGAGTCAAAACCAACCTGAGGGCACTTAACAGAAACACCACCACTAGATAGGTATGCACACCTTACAATAACCAGCCATTTGAGATCAAAAGGTCAGCATTTAACCAAGGACAGAGTTTAGGAGGAAGGAGGGCTAGGATACAAGGAGGAATGGAAACAGGAATCCCAGGGAGGAAGTGGGAGAAGTGATGTCACACTGTGAGGATAGCAATCAAGGAGATGAAACAAAATGTGTATGAACTGTTGGATGGGAAACCGATGTGCTCTCTAAACCTTCAACCCAATTCACAATACAAAGTTAAAAATCAATCAAAATAAAATGTTATGAAGGAAAATACACCATATTTCCATGCAAATAATGTATGTGTCCTACTGTATTTTGTTTTGTTTTGGCAAACTGCACAATCCATTTCTTTGTAATGTTAATGAGGCCATATCAGTTAAGGTGTATCTTAAACCTAATGACATTTTAAAATAACTTATTAATGTGAATTGACTGAAGGTTTACAGAGCAGATCATCCGTTTTACGTTCAACAAATTGGATACTGTGCTTCATTGCAATGATTGCAATCCCCTCCAAGTGCCATCAGTTAACAGTATTTACTGTAACTCTTGTATTCTCCCTGTGTCTCCTGCTGCCTTCATCTTTCCTCTGCCTAATGACTTTTGAGATATAAAATAAACACACCAGACACAAAAGCATGCAAGCATAAACCAGGGAACCATAGATGTCAGCGGTCCAGAGAATTACTTAGCATGACCCTTCTAGCTATTGTCTTTGTAACTCCAGCCCAATGACTGTGTTATGTACTTTTGAGTTGGTTCTGACTCATAGCAACCCTGTATAGGGTTTCCAAGAAGTGGCTGATGGATTTGAACCACCAACCTTGTGGTTAAGAGTCCAGTGCTGGTCCTACAGCACCACAACAGGACTCTAAAATGACTGTGTTGCTGTTGTTGTTGAGTGCTGTCAAGTCGATTCTGATCCATAGCGACCCTGTATAGGGTTTCCGAGGAGCAGCTGGTGAGCTTGAACCACTGACCTTGCTGTTCAAACGGCTTTGCAGTCTGACGCATTAACCCACAGCGCCACACCTAGGACTACACAAACGTGAGATGCCTGTGGCTCTCCAAGGGGATTGGGTACCTTACTAATCATATAAATAAGGTACAGGGCAATCTATGGAGGTGGAGTATGGAACCCCAACATGGGGATTGGCAAGTTGTGGCATCCCAATAGGCTTAAAATCTGAGATGGAAAGGAGAATATCTTCACCACAAGGAAAGAAGATCCAGGAGCAGAACTCAGCCTGAGATTCCTGTGCTGACCTGCCTCGATCCAGGAGACCGAGGACTGTGAACTGGAGATGGTGAGAGATGGTGAGAAACACAAACAGAAAAATGAGGACCGAGAGACTGGCATGAGCCATCAATCAGTAGGCTTCTGGACCCACGGAGAGAGAGCTGAGTGCCTTTGGGCTGAGGCTTTCTGGGGGAGTGGGATGCCTCTGAACCTTTATCAGCAGAGCAAAAAGAGCTTTAGAACACTTTCCTGAGCAAGGAAGAGGCCAAGGAGCTTAGGGACCTGGGAGTGCACGCAGACACAGCTGAGAAAAGGCTGTCCTGAACAAAAAAACTGTATCTGGAGTCTATTCTGATGCTGAATTGCAGCCTGTTGTTGTTATTAGGTGCCATCAAGTTGGTACCGACTCAGATTGACCCTACGAACAGCAGAACGAAACACTGCCTGATCCTGGGCCAACCTCACTATTGTTGCCACACTTAAGCCCACAGATGCTGCCACTTGGCCAATCCATCTCACTGGGAGTCTTCCTCTTTTTTTGTGACCCTCCACCTTACTAAACATGATATCCTTCTCCAGCGACTGGTCCCTCCTAACAATATGTCCAAAGTATGAGAGATGAAGTTTGGCCATCCTGGCCTCCAAGGAGCACTCTGGCTGCACTTCTTCCAAAAACGGTCTATTGGTTCTT